AGCGCTGGAGCCCGCTGGCAGGGCGTACCCCCAGCTCCCAGCTCCTGCTAGGGCAGCGGGAGCCGCAGCTCCCTCGCCACGGCCTTGCAACCGCCCAAATGGCAACGAGCATCGCCGGGATGCTTTTCCCGTTAGACCACATCTAAGCCTTCAGTAGGCAAACTTCCCACAAGCCAAACCAAAAGTTTTTCCCCCAAAAATCTCCATGTGGGGGCTTTATTCAGCTCTCAATGGGTCCTCCAAACAAGTCATGAAAGAAGCAACTGGTGCAACATCAGAACTAGGGTTTCTCTGGGTCACATTTTAAATACTTATCCCTGAGCTTCTGTGCATTGCGAACAATACACTGTGAACCCAGAGAAACACCACAGCTTGATACTGACATCCTATGTATTACCCTCGATTTACACATCATCTACAACTTAAAAATTAGCTTCATACTTAAACTAGTTCCCCAAGTTTCCCCCTTTCTCCTGCCTTTTATGTGGCAGGGATGATTGCCGCTTATTATCCTGAGAAATAACAACATTTTCACAGACACCAAGCTTCATAGCTTCAAATCAAAACCAAGAAAGAAGAAAGAATGAATGGTAAATAGCACATTCACAGGAGAATCTTTTTTTTTTGTTGTTTTTTTCACTTTTAAAAATGTAGTAAAGATAAAAGAAAATCAAGTTTTTTTTAAAAAGGTTGGTTTGAAGGACAAGACTTAAACTCCTTAGCCTGAAGTGGCTGCGGTTCTGTGCAGAGGCCTGAAGAGCAAGGGCAGGTTCTGCCGTCTGTGGCAGAGGGAGGGACGGGCAGCGAGCAGCACTCGACGTGAGCTCGAGCCTTTGGAGGGGCAACTGCCAGGTGGGGGCACGGCCACCCAGGCCTCCCCCGCGAGCCAGGGCAGCCCTGCGGGACGCGGCACCACCCGGGAGCCCTGCTCGCTCTCGCGGGCTCGCTCAAGGCAAGATGGCAGCACCAGGAAAACGGGCGTTCCTGGGGCAGCATCTGGCCAGCACGGGCTGCCCCGCAGCTGGCCATCGACTGACCACTTCGCACTGATCACCCTGAAAACGCCGTGGTGCCCCTGTGGTCTTTGCGTGACGGGAGACGGCAAAAGCTCAGGATTTAAGAATTACAGAAAAACCCAGAGCTGTACCCCGATGACCCAAAGCACGCAGCGCCTCTGCACAGCACTGTGGGATAGCAGGTGTGGGATGAGAAAGACGAACGCCATTGGCATTATTAACAATTAGAAAGTAGCTAAAGCGCATGCAAAACGGCTGGAGAGTTAGCTCCTGCTGCCTCAATTTTGCCATGCCCAGAGCCCCTCAGTTTCGAGGTACCTGGCACCTCTGAGCATCCTGGTCGTCCCTCCAGCCCCCAGCCCTCCCGAGGACAAGGACTCGCTGCTGACACATGCCGTGGGGCCAAGGCCCAGCTCACGCCACGGAAGCCTGACCCAAAGGCAGGCAGTGGAAGAAAACCCAGTCGCTTTCAAAAAGCCTTTGTTCGGGTCCTGGGGTCTGGCCGCTCGCGCCGGGACTCAGCCCCATCGGCTGGCAGCAGCAATTTCTGCTCTGCTCTCTGTGCTGGGCCGCCAGCTTCAAGCTGTAAAACAGCACCCGCCGCGGCAGTCCCTCTGAACAGGAGAGCCTGAGCACTTCAAATTTATGTCCCAAATCTCTGTTCGGATTAAAAGTAACTCTTCAGCTTTCCATCTGCACAAATGCTATGAAGGAGAGAAGGGGGTCAGTCAGCCAATTTATCTTTCAAATCGGGGATAAAAATTGACTTGTCATGACAGAAAATTCTACCAAAGACTATTATTGTTGATTGATTCCTCTATGACAGAAGGTCAGATAAGCAAGAGCAGATAGATACCAAAGATAATGAACTTCCCCCTACTAGCATTAAGCACAAATAAAATATGAGCCCTGTAAACCGAATGTTACGTGAAGAATGGAACAAAAATTCCAACCTTTCCAGGGTGTCCTTCAAACCAAATTCACAAATACATCTAGCGACTGACCTAACGTCTCTACGTCTCTAGCTACATTCCTACCTTCTCATAATACCTGAGTTTGCAATGCAACACATTCACTTTACCCTGTTTAAAAAACACAAGTCATTAGAGGACTTGGTGCAGAAGATACTAAGAATGACTATCCGGTGAGCTAGATTCTGGTTTGGTGTATTAGCTTCCTCCTTACTTGCCAATCCAGTAAGGCTTTTCTACCTCCCGCAACAAATGGGTTATTTGGTAATGGATACCGCTGCCAATCAACCTTCGTAGAATTTGCTTTATACAACAGAAAGTAGAACATTCTTGTCCGTTCATCATCATAAATGAATTTAGGGTCTTTGTTGGTGGTGGTACAGCATTAGTCTTGGGAGTCTATTTTGGATAAACACAGAATACCTAATAGATTATTTTTGTTGGATATTTGGCAATAAGATGACCACTTTTATGTACACTAATTAAAACAAACTCTTATTCATCAACAGATTATAGCAATTCAGTAACTGTAGAATAAAATTACTCCTATGCAATTTTAACAATTCCTTGAGTGTAGAAAACAGCAAGCCAGAAGATAACCCGTAATAAAAAGATCACATCAAGCTATTTGGAAATTAAACTCAAAAGCTGAGAAATACTTTCTAACTTACAAACAGATACACTAAAATCTTCCCATTTACACTTGAGGTATAGGCTGTATGCAGAAGGCTTTCCTGAGAAATACGCGCTTGTCTCATTTTACAGTCAGAAAGTAAATGAGATTTACGGAACCACCTTTGGATTCTGAAGCTCTATCAAGCTGACCTGCTGCTGGGCCCAGCAGCTGTTACCCGTAACGTCCTATTTAAATAATGAAAAATGAGCAGCTAGTGGACTTGTAGAGAAGGGAAACCGTCAAGCTGGAAGATGCCCAAGCGGGACTGCAAAGGCGGCGATGCCGCCGCGGGTCGGCGGTCAGCCAGCAGCGGGTCTCGGAGGAGAGGTCTGACGGCAGTGGCCAGCACCTGGGACACGGCACAGCTGCGGACTAAGCCAGAGATGTGCCAAGCCAGCGGGTCGCAGCGTCTCTGGGGCTGTAACCCAGGGAGCACCCGCTGGGTGAAGGGGAAGGAAAGACGACTTTGGTGCATGAGATTTTTCTCCTGTTCACATTCATCTCACAGCAGCTTCAGTACCTCTGAGCAGTACTCACTTTGTGCCACGCAGCTGTCATCAGGACAAGACAAAAAGGTAGCAACGGGTCCCTCCTACCCTGAAGGAACAGAAGTTGTTTCCCAAAGTAATTTTAAAACAGCATTCAAACATTTGTGGATGAACCCTCCTCCTACCTAAACATCAAATTCATATCTAAGGACACAGGGAAGGAAATCCAGCCAGGGCGACACAGCTGCTTAGGAGAGCGACTGTCTTTGAACATTAATTCTTAATGAAGGGGATGAGAACAAGAGCATCTCATCCAACCTCCCCACCACCACCACGAGCAGGAAGCCATGAGGTAGGTTAGTCGTGAGAATACTCGAGTTTAGATGAACACCAGCACTTAGCAATTACTCCAACAGCTAACTAGCTGTCATTAAACCAGTTCTCCATGCAGTGGAGTGGTGTGGAGGTTGTGCGATGGAAAATCCAAGCCCTGCAACACCTAGGACCGAACAGTTTACCAAGTACTGCATGAATACCATTTTTCCTGGTAAGAAGAGATTCCACAAGCAGCAGAACAGTCCTGGCAGGATAGGACTATGGATCACGCATTCCCCGAATCCAGCAGAGAAAGCCATGCCAGAGGACACCGGAGTCCCTTACCCCGTTACACAGGTCACATTTAACCATAGGGTACGTTAACTGTTCCCAGAAACGGGCTGCTTGGGATTGCTGCAACGCTTAAGCCTCCTCAGTAGCCAGATACCACCTTGGAGGAATCCACTAAAAGGGGCAGTCCCGCCTCTTCTCCAAGTAGGTTTTTCCTGCTTTTGTGAATCTAAAATGGACGTTAAGGAAGTGATGAGAAATTACTTGCAGTTCTCTAGCAACAAGAATACCTTTGTGCAACGCCAGGAGCTTGCTACAAACTGCAGCAACGCCATTTCAGTCGAATGGAAAGGTGTTGCAGTGAGCGAGAAGCCAGCTGGTCAGGCTGGGGTTGGGGGCACGGGCGGGATTCAGGGAAACCGCCAGAGCTACCTACCGCCTGCATCTGAAAACTGCCGGGGAAAAGAAACCAACTGGCTAGACAGGCTTTTCCTTCTTCTCCACTCCCCGCCTTCTTAAAATTATTATTATATTTAAAGAAAAAAAGCTTGGCACTTCTCTAACACCCACTTCTCCGAAATCGTCCATTTGGGATACCAACAGCTCTGTCGATGCTGTGAGGCCGTTTGCTCTCTACGACAAACGCTTTTGGATACAAATCATGGAAAGAGCAGTGCGCGAACAGCATCTTCTCCTTGAGGTAGTCTTGGTCATCTCGGTCCCCAGCCCCCAAATACAAAAGAACTAACCCTAATAAACACTGTAACATTAAACATCTTCACATTCTGTAAACCGCTGGAGAATGCATCTGCTGCATTCATACAGAACCATGTGCATCGTGTTGAAGATCATACATTCAACTCTGTCGTGAAATAAATATATAGGAAAAAGAGTAAAAAAACAAAAACAAACAAAAAAGATTCTTGCTACAATGGCCGGGACGCCCACCGCCCCGTCTCCTGCCTGGATCGCGTTTGCCCCTCTCCCGAGGTGAGCCAGCTCCCTGCCTGAGGCACAGTGTAAGGCACCGGCCGGGGCGAGCTGGGCTCACTCTTTGCTCACACTCGTCTTGCAGGAATGTAGAACGGCCTTAAACAGGAGAGGCAGCTGCTCCAGGGGGACATTCACCATTTTTCCTGGTAAGAAAAAAACCAGAATTAGCAGGCACTCTTGAATCAGATTTCAGAGACACCTAAGCCAGCAACGCTGGAGATGGTTTTACCTTGAACCTCTCAGAGAAACAGTTAATCATCCTACTGCTACATTAGACATTTGATATTCATTTGGAGACAACGGGATTTATTATTTACTGAATTGAAAGCAAAATAAATGGGCAAAGTCAGATCAAAATGATTTCTCCACAATGGAGCAGTATTTATATAAACTGGGAAAGACTAAATCCCGTCTCTCCTCAAACTCCCTTGTTGATCTCAATGAGTAAATTACAAGAGCTACTCTCTGATTATTATCTAGTTCGTTACAACGGAGTAGGATGAAGCATACGGAGCCTTGACACAGGGAGGCAAGTATCTCCCTTTGCCATAATGTTCAGGAACAAACAATGTTTTAGTAACACCAGACCTTGTAGGTCTAACTAGTGACACAACTGCATTTGAAAATTCATCTGTGGATTTCAGAGGTCCAGACGAGCTGAAAGCTGGGGGTTATACTGCAGGTCCGCCCACCGCTCTGCTTATCATCTGCTCCTTAATTAAGCAGCATTTCAGAGATCTCTCTCTGTCTTATAACTACTCAAACCAGGATGGGAGGCATTTTGAGAGAAAATGCCTCCAAGTTGGGATGGAAAGGAAGAAAATAAAAGGAGAACCTGACCAAAGTACTTAAAGGGCAGCAAGTCAGAGCAGGGCACGTCTTCTGGGAGCAGGACATAACACTGCATCCGCCAGCATCACAAGGACAACTTGGAAAGAGCCAGTCCGGCTGGGTGAGCTAGGGGTGACGGGAGATCGGCTTAAAGGTGGGCGAGAAACTTCGATAGATAAAGGTCTCACACAAACATCTTCCACCAAAGCTGACAAGAATTTCACTGTTATAAATTAATGTTTTTTTAAAAGCTAATTTAATAACTTGCACATGATCCCACTGGGAGAAAAGCTCAAAAAGTTACCTGCAATATATCGTATCTCTGGCAAACACATCATTAAATCCGGAAAACGGTTTGGCTGGTGTGGGTATTTGTACTCCGTGAAGTCCTGGCAAACATACCAATACCGCTTATTCAGCTGCTCCAGTTGGGACGCATTAGTCAGACCCCTGATGTCTGAAAGTGAACACGATTAGAGTAATGAAAACATCCTAGCAGAGCAGCAGCCTCGCACTTATTGCCATTTCTTCAGGAAAGACAGCCTGATTTCTGTAACTCTAAGCTGGGTCCCTGCTTTGGAGATTGGCTTCCAGTGCCCAGTCAATTACTAAAACTCCTGTCCCCTCTCCTGGCGTGCCTGCATCGCTGGTGCGTCTTTACACGCGTGTCTGGGTACAGGATTTCCTTCCACAAAAGGCCAGGATGAGAACAGCTAATGTCCTAAGCCGCTCATCTGCAGAGCTCAATGAATGCTCTTGGAGATAACAGCACCAGCAACCCTAAATCCCCGCCTGCCTGGTGTGAAGCAGCTGTGTGTCAAGGTTTAGTCCTCACAGCAGATTCAGCATAATACTTCCTCAGACAGAAACATGTTGATTTTAGCTATATCATCTTGGCTGAGGAAAGCGCTCAACTCTATAATTCAAGGTATCATCATATTTCTCCCCATCTGCTCATGAATTATGTCATACGAGCTTTATAAACTTGTCAACTTCTTATTTTTAAATCTAGCTTTGCCAATGTCAGGCAACATACACAAAGGAAAAATGGACGTTTCCAAGCTATCAAACTGGCACCGCTCAGCCTGATCAACGGCATCAGCACGCTGCCGGGGGTCCTGGGAAGGATCCAGCGCGGTGGAGCAAGGAAGCTGCGGACCCTCGGTGCAGGCTCGGTATTGTAAGACCATCTGACGGAAGAGGCATTTATCTACTGCCCAAAAGCTGACTTTTAAAAATAATTCTCAGGTATTTCACATAAAAAATTGCAAACTTCAACTAAAAATAAAAGAAGACAGGAAGCTAATGAAAACACATTCTGGAAAACAATGGAGACAGCTCGAGAAGTGCATTATCCAGTGTCAGGAAACTGCCCAGGGAAGCAAACCGGAACGTCAGGCCGGCACAGACTGAAGCGTCAGCACTATCTCCTGCTGGAAACGGGGGGGTGAGGAGAGAGCCTGCAGCACATCTTTACAGACTGCAACTCTCTTTCACAGGACAAAAGACTTTGGGGACATTTATTTCCAAAATTACAGCTGAACACCATCCATTAAGCATGTGCCTCTCAACACTTCTCTTCATTTACAACACGAAATGTCCTCCGAGGCCCCACAGACGCGGGGCCACAGCAAACGACCAGGAAAGGGGATCCACAAGCAGCGGATTGCGACAAGGTACAAGAGAGGAGACAGGGACAGGCACTACTGAGGAACAAATCCCATCTATTCCAAACTATTCCAGCCCGCTACAGTTGTTAGGAAAGGACCAGGATCTTCTCATGCGTTGAAGAATTACTCTGCATGGATTTTGAAATGTCTGGGGTCTTGCAGGAGCCCGGACTGTCAGCTTTAATACACTGGTTAATCAACAGGAGGATACGGTCCCTTCTTAGGCAGAATTCATTGCCTGCACATAAATACTTCATTTGTGACTACTTTTCACTTTGAAGAGTTAGCATTAGGTATAGAATCTAAAAAGCAGGAAGTCAGCTAGGTGATCTAAGTCCATATCCTGAAGGTAAATATTTTAAAGAGTCAGCAAAGCTCTAAAAAAGGGGAGGACTGGTTTTACAAATTCACCTTTAAAGCAGAAACATTAACAATGACATCTTCTAGTTGGGAATCTTTGAAAGGTTGTTAGGCAAATAGTCAAAGTTTACTTCAGAAAAAAAGGTCATGCAAATTAACTGGCCTTAAAGTATCACTGAGTTAATTGCCTAAACAGTTACCTAAAGCAGTAGTACTTTTAGATGACACATCTTTGTCTGGTGAGAACTTTGTCAGCAGCTGCTAAAGTCACCACTCACCAAAACCTTATCCAGAAAGGTTTCACGAGCCTCTCTGCTCTGTTCTTATTCTGGTGTTGGTACCCTTGGTACATAGGTAAAATGACACACTTACTGTCCTTGGTGCCTCTATTTAAAGGCAATAAAAACTGTCTAAGCAAACGAATTCATTCACTGCCAGGATTTCTTCATGTGAGTACCCAAGTATCCCATTCTGTGTGGTGCACGGTCTGCACAACGGCAAACACATAGAGAGGTTTCAGAGCTCGCGTTTCTTTGTGGGTCTTGGACCCCTTCCTCCCATTGCTCATCAGGGAAGCAAAGACTGCTCAGACTGTTTCAGAGAATTTCTCCAGTGGGGCCGATACCTTCTCTTTGTCGACTCACCTTGATTTAGGAAGTTAATGGCTTTCATACACGCGTACTCCTCGTTGCTGACCTTCAACTGGTTAAATTTGCGAAAGAGGTAGATCAACCGCTCCATCACCTCCATCCCCTCTTCACTGAATCTGGAGGATAGAGATCACACATGAACGTATACAGGACACAGTCTGTACAATAAAGGCAAGAAGCTTATTAACATAACTTCACAGATTTTAACATCTTGCAAGAGAATTTAAAAAAAAAATTGTCATCAAAATTGCTTGAAGTCTGCTGGCACCATTAAATTAAAGTAGAAGAAAGAAGGAAAATGACTCAGTTACAAACTTGACTGCTACAGATATTTTAGCAAAAAACGATCTCTTGGTGATTCAGTTCATCACCAGCCTGCTCTGACAGAGGGAAAGGTTTGACGGAGCCAGGAAAACTTCTTGCACGCTTGTAGGCACACTGCTTTGCCTCTCTACGCTTGTACTTCGCCAGATTTCAACGAGGATTGTGCCTTTGCACTTTGCTGGGCTAATGGGAGGTTTAACTGAACAGTTTGGGGAATGAGATGAGATTTCATAGAAATGTGGAGTGACGCTTGTCTGTTAGGACATGAAAATATCCTGCAAAAGACCTGTTGTTCTGCCAGATGCAAGGGTCAGTAGGTATTCTCCCTCTGCCTGGTGTTGCGCTGCACCTACCCGCGACAGAAAGCGGCTCACAGCCATGTTATACAGCACTGCGCCTTACTCCTGATGGTTATTCTTGCAGGACAAAAGCACCTCTAGCAAGCTTTGGAGTCCTTCCCCCATTCAGAAGACAAGCTGCCCCCAGGCGCGTTTCACGTGTTCTCGCCCCTCACCACTTCGTCCCTTTCTTCAATTTGTGCTTTCCAACATTTGCAGCAACCCAACATAACCTCCGCTGGCCACCAGCAAAACACCAACGCACCCTTGGGGGCCTGGAGGTGGCCCCAACAGCTGTATTGCTGCACAGCACCCCGCATCCCACCCTGAGAGATCTGGGATCGGTGCTGCTTTACAGCACGTTACAAAGGAACGCTTGTTCTCTGCAACAAACACACCCAACCTGATACCCAAGTTGTTGGTTTTAAACAAACCCCTCCGTTCTACAAAGCTGATCAATTAATTTTAACCTTTACTTACGGAATCAGCCCAATCCCCAAGCTTTGGCTCTGTGTGGCACATTTCATTGTATCAGCTGAACAGAGCAGCACCCAAGGTGGTACAGGACTGCAGGAACACAGACCCCACACCCGGCTGCACAGGTGCTGCCTCCCAGAACAAAGTCCATTTCCAAGAGCAAAAGTGCCTACAATTTCTCATATCTGTAGAGCGCCGTTGGAAATAACCTTGTTTTAAACACCGAGGGATTACACTGACCCACATACAGCAGTGACACAGACTTCACTTATCTGACAGACAGGTGAGGAAGCTCACCTCCCAAAAATTCCCAGGAGTGACTCACAGAGACCCTGGACTTCCACACAGCCATATTTATTGCCTGTTCATTACGGTTTGTTAATTCTCCTCGGCTGAGAGCTTCTAGGGCAAGACATACTGCAGGAAGGCTGGGATTCTTCTCACAAACACAAATACGCATGAAACCACAAATAACCAATGTTAAAGGGAGTGAAACTGCAGGCTATGGTCGCAGGTTGAATGGTGCAGTCTAAGGAACCACGCCGTTTCCTTCTAAACTCTCCCCCTCAATAGGACGTGCAGGATTCATTGCACTTAACAAAAGCGTATCAAGATCCAACCAGAAAAGCACTGCTGCTAGTGTGGACTGTCAGGGATCCTCTGCTGGGATCTGGATCCACCACCCGTACCAGCCCTGGAGTATCTCACAGGCTCACTGCTGAATCTGTGCCATTGGCAGAAAACAAGTTGTGCCTTTCTCCTGAGCATCCACACTTGCCAGGGGAAGCCAGCGACAGAGACGGGCAGGAGAGGGCATGCTGATGTACAGGGAAAGCAAATCTCCCCAAAATCTCCTGGGAAATTGCCTGATGGAGATTTTGCAGGTGCAGAACGAGGTCCTCCTGCTGAGGGGTGTGCCGGGCTTCTTCTTCAGGAGCAATGCCCCGCGTGAGCACCACAAAAAAGCCACGGCGTAAACACCAGGCAGAAGCGGAGCTGGAGGGTGCAGAGGGCTGCCGGTCCTGCAGGCACGCTCCAGGACCATACCCCACGTGTGTCAGTGGCCAGAATGGCCTCCCAGGAACACATCTTGCAGCAACACCACCGGTTTCAAAGAAACCACATATTGAAAAAACGCTCTGAAGTGGGACAGAAGTGTTCAGGGAAGCTTCAGCTGGGCTCTGGCATTGTACAGCACAAAGGAGACGAGCACAGCCAGAAAGCCACCTTTGAATACAACAAAAATAGAACATTTTTCACTAAATAATACCTTATTTTGGCATGTGTGTTTGTTTACTTCAAAGTTATTTGTAAAATGCACGGTGGAGTTTGCCCTCAGAGAAGTGAAAACAAGCTATCTGAACTCCAGGTCACTTCTTCAAGAAAGTAATATTGTAAGTGATGAAAGCCTTGTCGGCTAATCTAAAGTTGTACAAGTTTTCTTGCTCTCAAGCTGACATTAAAAATCTTGCAGGTGCAAGATTGCAAAGCTCAAGAAGTTAATGAGCACAAAGACCACTCAGTCATCTGTTGGGTTTAATTGTTTTTAGAGCGTGCACATTTTTACCAGCCACTCATCACTTCGTAAATCCAGGAGAGCTCTTCTCTCATTCCTGCAGTTGAACTGTCTTACTTTTCTGTGCATACTTTCCTCCCCCTTTCAAACAAAGCTGTTCTGTTTTTCACAGCCCTCTTTCTTCTCGAGGACTGACTCCTCCACACACTTTTCCTCGCAGTTTACACCAGGCAAGTTTCTGGCTGGGAGTTATCGAGATCAGCTGGGGAGGAGGGGGAAGGGAAACGCTATCAGGAGTGCTGGGGGAGGTCAGGAATCTATTCATTTCATATTCATCTCTAGAAAAACAGCACAATAAAAGAAAACAATTGATCTAGCCAGAACATTTAGCCAGTTGTTAGAAGTGATTACAACACAGGGACTGGGGAGCTCATCCTATGCCTTCATTCATCACCTACCTAAGCATTAGCATTGCTCCCGTCATTTTGCTAAATAAGAACAGAAATTAACCCCAAAGTGCCAGACTATCACACCTCAGTGAGATTTCGTCAACCAGCTGCGAGATCTAATGAACTTCGGTCTGCAATCCTTACTGATCAACACCAGAGGAAACGAGGGCTCTTTGAGAGAGCCCACAAGTCAGACACCTCTCCAAAAGAGCCCCTCTCAAATCCAAAGGGACCAGCTTTTCCACAAGGGCATCGGACAGGGAGACCGATACCCATGAACTGTCCCACTGCTGCCTGCAGCTGTCCCACTGCTATGGCTGAGCTACCATAAAGACAACTGGGAGGGAGCCACGCAGCTTGAGACCCCTCATCTGTGCAACTTCCCGCTAAATGGCTTTTTTGGTGTGTATTTTCCCATGTTACTAATGACAATTAATGATACTTGAAAAGCTAAATCAGAAGAAGAGACTTCAGAAACATTCCGCTCCCAAGAACACCTATTTTCATCCATGTGCACAGATCTTCTCTGAAGGACTTTTGAGGCGACCAGCTCTGAATTGCCGGTTTCTGAAGGGCCAGGGATTCCTCCTTTGTCTTGCTGTCTTACCTCTCGCTTGTATTTATCACAAACCCAAAATGAAACAAACACTTCTCTTTTAAGGCTCTGACCAGGACAGCAGGAACAAAAGGACAGCTGAATGCAGGAACAAGTGTTATTGTGGTTTTCTATGACCCTTACTGCTCCTCGCAGGAGCAGCACCAGATGCACCATGAATGGCCGGGCCGAGCAGCGCCGCGGAGGAACCTGCCCCAGGAAATGAGACACCTGGGTCCAGCTCTTGGCTCCTCCACTCCCTCTGCTGTGGTCTCAGCTAGCCAGCCCCTCCGGTTCTCAAAACAGACGCACAAAGGAAGCTCAAAGAACCGTTAGATACTGCGATGGCTGAGGACCACAGCAGTATTTTAAATCTCTGCTCATCAGACACTTAGATCCCCTTGGCGAAATGGCCAAGCCTAGCAAGGTCAGAGTGCAAACGGGGCAGATGTTAAAAGGGAGGGTGGGCAGCAGCTTCCGTAAATCCTACCTGTTCTGCCATAATATTGTGAGATCGTGAGTCTACTACCAAAAGGAGGATCTGTCTGGCACCAAGACTACAAAACAAAACATCCAAATCAAAAAACAACACCCTGACCAAAATGATAAATGAAAGACAGGTTCCTCAGAGCATCAGATAGCACGTACTATGGAAAAAACAAGAGCTAAGTTGCAACATCTTGAAATTTATGTAATCAAAACAATGAAATAGCAATTAATAATGAACACTTTGATAATAAAGACAAGCAGCTTTGTGAACAACCTTTCTACTGGCCCAAAGGGTTTTTAAATAAGACATTCTGTCTTGCAACTCAGGGTTACCCAAAGTGTTGATTAGTTTTACTCTCCTCACAAAAAAGGTAGTTTGTAGGGCTGTGCTGAAGGATGACAGCATTGCTATGAGAAATTCAAACAGCACCAGGCACACCTTTCCCTGCAGAAGGAAGTTTTGGTTCAATACTGACTAACCATGGCGTACTTTCTAAGCCTGGAACAACCGTTCCCTAAAAAACAGAAAAGGAAAACAGCCGCAGGTGATCTGTCCCAGGAAAGGTGGTTAGCTGGTCAGAGGGTGCCCAACCACCATCCTCCGGACAGCTCCTCCATCGCTAGACCTCACTCCCTTACCCACGGGCTCAGCCTGACATCTCACCTGTGCAGCTCATCGTCAGAGGGAGAGTACTTGGAGGTGACGTCCGCAAGGTCACCAAAGATCTGCTTGCTGTAAACAGTCAGCGAGGACAGCAGGATCAGCTCCTGCCACGTAGAGCTGAGCAGGCAGGTATAGTCCTTGATGGAGAGTTCGCAGAAGAACGGCAGCTTCTTGATCCAAGCAATCTGCCTGAAAAGCAATTCATCCGCCAGACGACACAACAACGCAAACAGCTCTGCCTGAGTCACTTTATACCTGCAGGCACAGTTAATATGAAAGCGTAAAAGAACATTAAAAACATTGAATGACATCATCTGATGAGGCACTTGAAAAGAAAGGCAAACGCCACAAGAATCCATGTTCAAGTACCCAACGTGCCAGTGCCCTGTGTCACCCGGTGGCAGGAGCCACAATGGCCAACACCCAGCCTGCCTGGCCGGGGGCTGCGAGGGGAGCCCCCCCGACCCCTGGGGTCACCCACCCAGCCAGCACCCACAGGCACGGGGCAGCTCGGCTTCAGAGACGGCCCTGCAGCTCTCACCAATGGACAGGCTACCCAGCTTTTTTCCACCCATGTGTATTTTTTCCAGATACTCTGCTTATTACCGGGCCTTTCGTACAGTTAATGCAGTCTCAGGGCTGAAACCCAACGAACCCTGCTCCCATGCAGGCTCAGCCTGGCCACGTAGCCTGGAACCCCATGTAAGGTCCGTGCATGCCAGCTCCAGCCCCAGGCAAGGGCACACGCCACTCGCGGGACGGGGTCTGGTTTGCTGCTTGTACTACGGCTGCATCTTCTCCCAGGGGACGTGCTCCCTGTGCCGATCGGGCCATGAACGCATGCACCCAGCGACCCACCTTGCCGTCAGCAGCCCCTGCAGCATGAGCTGCAGCTGTGTGTG